GTACCCCGATGTATTACGCGTATTACCCGGATAAAATGTTAGAGAGATCGTTTAAATCCGTAGAAAATTCGAATATTCCGGAAGAAACCGTCCTAGACGACAAGGAAATCGCTAATGCGAAGAACAGACAAAATGATCCGCATAAATCTAGACAGATGGATATAAACCAACCATGGTTTATTCCCGATATGGAGAACAATAGAGTTCGACCGGGTTTGGAGTATCGTTACGTGGAGAGTGAAGAACATAGTCCCACCAATGGCACAATAGGTAACAAGACTACCGGTAAATCGGTTAACGTCACGAAAAGTACCGTTTCTGTCGTGGAAACTACCACAAAAAACGTGACTAGAGTCGGAGCAGAATCACGAACCAATTTCGTCGTCGAAATACTAGCAGTGGTGACTTTATTGGTATTAATCCTCGCTTGTTACTTCAGTTCTAGTTGCTTGAGAAAACCTAAAATTATCGAAGAGATTGCTCACAAACTGCTAAAGACGTTGAAGAAAGTCAAATTATCTAGAACGAAAGAAAATCAGGAAAATAGACACCAGAAAGATAACCTGATCGGACACGAAGGGTTTTACGAGGATGCGGGTGAATAGAACGACACCACAAAGAATGCTTTCGTCTTTCGCTATTGACTGGTGATTGTCATTAAAATTTATAATTATAAATAAACATTACACAATTTAGTTTCTAATCTACAGAAAACTTGTATCAGACGTTTGCACGAAACGTACAGTTTCACATAAATCACATTTTATTCAAATCATACCTCTATCTTTGGATTCACCAGTAGCCAAGAGGTTCCGACTGGGAGTTCGGTCGTGGGTTCGCGCCTCGCCAGGACGGGCTGGCCACGTGGAGTTTTTCGGGTTTTCTCCACGTCCGTAACGCCCGCACAGGGGCCAATTACCCTTAAAAAGGCATTGTCCTAGGCAGATTGCCCAAGTGTTGCGTTGCCATAACTTAATAAAACAAACAAATCTATATCTTACTTATAAATCTTCATTTAAACAATTACAAAAGTATAAATATACAGGCTTACATTTTTAGTAATTATAACAATACAGAAATTACATAATTAATGGAAATAAATATAGAATATCTACCGTTGTCTTTATATAATTTTATTTGTTCTGTTTAGGTAATAAGTGAACATTTTCATTAATCGCATTCTATTCATTGAATCACTTACACTTGATTCTATGATTCATACAATAAAGCATAAGTACTAATAAGAATTGTATGTAATGTTGCCACCTTTTCAAAATTGTTGACTCGGACATTTTAAAATTAGGATGTTATACTGAGGCATGCACAATGTCATTTTACAGTCAAGAACTGAATAATGCGCATGCAAGTTTTAAACCAATTAGGGACTTTTGTTGGAACAAACCTAGTACAGTGATAACTCGGTTTTCATCTATAATCGGCCCGAAAACAATTGACGAATTTCGAAACTAACGAAAACCGAGGCAATTATTTCCATATGAATCAATGTAAGTCCAATTAATTCGTTCTAGACACTCCAAAATACATACCAAAAACACATTTTATAGAGAATATATATAGTGTTTAATACTAAAAACAACAATAAATTAATATAAAATGTATATAAAAGACTAACCTGAAGAAAAAAATGAACATTTAACATGGAATTTATCTTTGTGAAGACTTTTCTAGGTGCGTAGGAACCCTGTATAATTCTAAATTTAAATGACAATATTGAAGTAAAAAATGTTAAGTCAAGTCACTAATCCAAGTTTCATCATTTAAATTTTCACATTTTCCATCTTGCTGGTAAAGAAAATCTATTATTTCAGGCAATAAATCACGAAAAAGTTGCAGAAATTTACCTCTGCTTCTTACATCTTACTTCTTAATCTTACATCTGTATGTAGTAATAATTCACGTTGGCTTTCATTGAGCTGCAGTTGGAAGAGACGCCCTTTGATGGAACTTCCTGCAATTAAATTAACAATTTTAAATGCTATGTCCATTACCTCTTTTGTATTTAGTCTCTTGATGGTGAATTATGCAGTGATAGTTCAAAAAGGCTGGGAATTCATCTTCAGTTTGACATAGGGCTATAAATCCATTTATGCAACCTATCATTGTAGCTGCACCATCCATTGTTATTGAAACTAATTTAAAAAGTGGTACTTTCAAATCATTGAGCAAGTTTTTAAAGGCTTTGAATATATCTACACCTCTAGTCCTTTCTTTCAAAACCGGGAAAATTTCAAGATGTTGCGCATTTCAAGCGTTATTATTGTGTTATCGTTCATCCACATCGACAATTATCAATCTTATGGGAAGGTGGGCGAGGCCTTCGCCTACGACAATANTCAGTTTGACATAGGGCTATAAATCCATTTATGCAACCTATCATTGCAGCTTCACCATCCATTGTTATTGAAACTAATTTAAAAAGTGGTACTTTCAAATCATTGAGCAAGTTTTTAAAGGCTTTGAATATATCTACACCTCTAGTCCTTTCTTTCAAAAGAAGTCATACCCAACAATTCTTCTCTACATGTAAAGTCCTTAAAAACCATACAAATGAAAACAATTAATTGTGCTGTATCACTTATACTGTATCTGTCAATTCATCACATTGAAGTGAAAAACAAGAACATCTATTAATATCATTATATAACTATTCTTTTACATTTCCACTCATCTGAATTTGTTGCATCACGGTGTTTCGAGACAGTTGTAGATCTTAAATTGCAGCAATAATTTCACTCTTGTTCTTAAAATCATTAAAAAGCGAATCTGACATTTCCTTTACTGTCGGAAAATGGTTTACACTTTTTGCTAAGAGATAGCTTACTTTGAATGATGCAGTAGTTACTACTTGTGACTTCAACATTGTCTTTTTAAAAACATTTTGTTGATTTGTTAATTGAGTTTTAAGATCCCTAACTTTCAATTCGGAATTTGGTGGATAATCTGTTTGATACTTGTTACTGTAAAGCTAAAAAATGTCTCTCCAGATTACCCTTTTTAGCAACGGCTATCGAGGTAAGGCATATTAAGCAATGACATTTACCATTCAACATTATAAAAAAGTAATCGCGTTCCCATTCTTCATTGAAATGGCAAGTTTTTGGTTTTTTTGGTTTACTACTCATGTTCATGGGTATACTAAAATGCAAAAGAAATACAATTTAAAGAATAAATATTGAATTAAATCTTTTCTTAGAAAATTAAAAAACTCATGAACTGTGGAATAATTAATGTAAATCCCACAAAAGAGATAAAAGGAAACATTTTAGTGGCCGCAATAGGAGTGTCCTAAAGTGACATTTCCCCCCATTTACATGGCCAACAGTTCACAAAAACTCCACATTCCCACACTTGTAATTGATAATTGAGCTTTGTTGCTATAGTTTTAGAAGAGATTGCCTTTGACAGATGATGTTCAAAATAAAATAAATCTTTATTTAAACTCATCGAATTAAATTTATTTCTAGAAATTATTAAGAAGACAATGTTTTGTGATCTATAATTTTATAGAAAATCTGATTGTATTTTGTAAAAATACAATGACTGGTCATGTCATTCACAATACTCAACAAAGAAAAATATCAACAAACTTGATATATTATGATTTAATTATTAAAACACTTTTTTCGACTCTTGGATACTTCTGCAGGTTTAGTGACTTCTGCTTAATATATTTGTTTATAGTGAACCCTAACGCTTCTTTTCACTATACAAGTACCCTGTATTTTAATACTGTATTATATTAATCAGTACTAATAACTTACTCTGAATAAAAGTGTGAATTACTGTATATTGCAATAAATGTACAAAATTATGTAAATTTATTATTATTATTTATTTACTTTTATAGTCTGCATTGAACAAAATTTTAGCACAATTCAGTACTGTACTCTAATTGCAGCTTTGTATGTCAATTTTTTCCTAACCCCAGATAGGTGACAACCTCACTTATGTTGCTAGAAATTGTATATCCCAAAGGTGGCTACAAAATTGAGATTTCATGCAGTACTATACTTTATGAAAACTACACAATGATGTAATATATAATAGAGTGTATGTAGACTATTGTACTCCTTCCTACTAAATTTTTAATTATTATTCTTTTAAGTTAAATAATGTACTATTATTTAGTCACAATTTGAAATACATTTTAATTATTACAATATTATATTTGTTTGTTAAAGCAATATATTTATTTCTTATTTCCTTTGCACATATGAACACTTGTATGACTAAAGTTTGTCATAGGTATAAACACTAGGTGTTACTACAATTACACGTGAAACATGTAAATTATCTTTGTTCGTCCAGAGCCCAATCTGTGAGGGACAACATCTCAGATTTGTCTCTTCGCATTTTAGACTTATTTTAAGGGCATAATTAAACTTAAAATCCCAGGATAAGAGCATCTGTGAATTTTTTCCGATATCATCTTTTTCGTTCTTCTATATCTGAACTCTTATTTGTCAATTGAGATAACGAAACTTAGAAGCACGTAGAAAATTTTTTTTTTGTGGAACCAATGATCATCTTTCATTATTAAAATGATCTAAAAGATTAAATTAAAATAATTTTTTGTGTTTTATTAAAAGATAAAAAACGAATTTTTTTTGATAATTTTATCTCATAGATTTGTTACCTTTTTCGTGTCAGAATCCAAATAATAATAATCCACATATTTTATAATATATAATTATATATTTTATAACTTAACAAATTACACTTGAATTTTCTAAGAATTAAAATTAATATAATTTAATAAATTAACATCCACAAACAACTACTCTTAACATTCACATAAAACAAGAAGCACAATCAGATTTTTTTTTTATACCTTAAAAGTATAATAATTTTTTTTACAACCAGGTGTAGAAATATCATAAAATTATTTGATGCCAACAGCATTAATATATTATTATTATTAGTAGTAGTATTATTATCACCGGTATTATAAATATATAATAATCAGATTTGATATCACAGCTTGCAAAACAAATTATTTCATACTTTTACAAAATTCAATTATTTACATTTTAATTCTAATCTCTATTAAAACAACAAAAACATTTATGTTTAATATAGGAAAAGCATGCTGAAAATTCTCAAACTATAATTTACAAGTTTAAATATTTTAACTCTTGTATACGTATATATTATATAATGTAACTAGCAAACATTTTTATGTATTAAAACTGTACATTATTTGTTGTCCATATATTTGTCCCATAGTATGTGGTACTGCATGTTTTACATACAAAATATATTGCAAATGTCAACAAATGTTTTAAAATTAGATTCTATATAATTTTTTTTTTTTTGTTTTTTTTTCTTTGGAGGAAATTTTTGCAATATTGACTTAGCAGTTACTACAAAAACAATTATGACACTATATTATGGCACTGTTCTACTTGGTATTGCACTTCTTGATGAATTGTTTTTGTGGACTTTAGCAGATATTCTTTCTCTTGGCATTTCTCCAATTCCCTAAAAAATATTTTCAATATACTTTAACATATTAAATCATCATATAATTAAGCAATGAAAAAATAATTTGGTTAAATCTAAAAGCTGATCAAGTTTTCCTATGCATAACTGTATAAAAATATGTTTTTATCAGATTTAATAATGATACCAATGATATTTTTATTAACAAATCTTCAGAATTATCATCCTTTTAATCTGTTTCTGTCAGTTAGAACTTACTTTTCAAATGTTTAAATAGAATTTTGAGCTGTTTTAAATTTTGTGATAAATATTTTATTTGTAGAAATGGGCTGGCAGAATTACATTTTAATAAAATATAAAATTCATCTGGATACGAGATGAAAGGTTTAGCCTCTAAAGAAAGGTTGTCTCTGCAATGGAAATAGTTGTTCCTGGTGATTAGACATGGCAAGTAAACTTGGACTCGTATCCAGATGAATTTTATATTTTATTAAAATAAATATTTTAATTAAAAATTAATAAATTAAAGAAATAGGTACTCTTCAAGCATTGCTTACATACTCACAGGAAGTAAGCATATATAGGACAGTTTATTTTTAATCAATTCACTGGAATAACTCAAAAAATACACATCCTACAAAAAATTCACTAAACCAAAGATGCCAGACTTAAGGGAGCCACAAAATGGTGGTATTACACGGCTACCATACCATGAACACAGTGGTATAGTGGTTGTGTAAAAATTCAAATGTTCATAACTTTTGATATGTTTATGTATCTTTTGGAAAAAATGTCTCAGATAAAAGTTTGCTATAGAATCATAATAGAGTAATCCTCGATTTATGTGAATCATTTTAAAGCAGTTGAAAAATGTTTAAAGTTTAAATAATCAACTTTATGGCAATAAATGATAGTTACTTCAACAAGAGTGGGTTTTTTCATTATCAATAACCTTTTATAAAGATGTATATTAAAAAAATTTAGTTAAAACTATTCTATCACAGTAAGAGTAAAATACTGAATTTGAGAATATGAAACAAATCCCTATTTTAAACAGCTTTTCATGGGCCCATTTAGATACTGTTTTGTTGAACCAATTACTCACATAAATGGAGAGATTACTGTATGCAATAAAATAAAAATGTCATATAAGAAACTGAAGTTGACCCTGTCTTCATGATTTTAGCACCATCTATGATAAAACTGACAGAGCATTTTGTGGTCTCCTTGAAGTCTAACATTTTCTGTTCAATGAAATTTTTATAGGATATGTATTTTTAAGTTATTCCAGTATATTAATTAAAATGAACCACCCTGTATAAGTGACTATTTTTGTGTGTTGCTGAAACAACAGTGCTGTTTCAGCAACACACTGTTCAGTCAAGTAATGCTAGCAGAGTAATGTTAAATTATTAAAGAAAAATTTAATAAAGATAGGAGGCTATTATTATGGAGGAATTTATTATGTTTTCAATGGTAACCTGATGGCTGATACAGTAAAGATGGGTCAATGAGAGTATCAAATAGATAAGCCTGGGCAATATCTTCAGGAATTTCACGAAAGGTTGGTCTGGATAGGCAAATCCCCTCTTTTTTTACTCAATGATGCCACTACAGACCTGGATGAATCTAGAATGGTGATGTTAAATGACATTCTTAGTGCTTGCAGAGCAGAGAGAGTTAAAAAATTTCAAAAATAATGGATCAATATATTAAACAGGAGGGTAATTTAATTTACTACATTTTATACATCGTGTTTTATGATGAATAATGAAGCATATAACTATGATAAATAATGAACAGCATCTTAATAATATCTAAAAATATCAGAACTCCTTAAGTCTGTCATTCTATATACAGTATAAGAAAAGTAAACTGATGTATCTGCAGACAAGTAATCTAAGACATTTATCATCTATTCAATACAACTGTGTTATTTTTGCATTTCTAACATGCAATTTTGTTTCAGTTCTGTTCACATTTCCTTTGCTATTACATCTAGTTTTGAAGATGCATTTCCGTAATTTTGTTTTTGGTTCCGATTTTTATAAAACAAAAAGTATATATTATATCCTAAAATAAATGTTCTTTCAACTCTACTGATTCAAAATTTGGGAATTTTTGTTTTTGTAAACAATTGGAATCATTCTAAATAGAAATAAAAAATAAAAATTGTTCTAATTTGATATGTGACCAATTATATTAATTTAAAACTTTACAATACCTTTTTTCTAATTGTTTCCAGAATTCCTCTTATATTTCGAACTGTTGTTTGATGAACATATTTAGTTAACATTTTATCAAAGGACGGATGAGGTAACAGTATTTGAAATATTCTCCTACCATGATACCTAACAGAATCAAATAAAAATTAAGTCAGTTGCATAACATCTGAACAACAGTGAAAATAAGTTAATTTCAATATTTATAGTTACAGTGGAAACTTGATGGGACCAGTCTTATGTATAATGCAAAAGTGATTTGTATTTGTGTTTTTGAGTACCTCAAACATTGCGCATATAAAATTTCATGAACTGTAAATATTATAATGTAATTACCATATTTGAAAGTAAATTAATTTACTCAAAATCTAAAGTAATGTTATATATACATATTATTGCATAACAATTTACAAATGATGTAGTAATTTCCTGTTACATTCGTTTTTTGAAACCGTGTTTTTGTATTTATTTACTATTGAACACAAGACTGTGTTATTATTAAAACACTTGGCGTTTATCCACTTTATTCAGTTGATATTCCTGTTACATAATGAGTTTGTGTATATATATATATATAATACACTCTATCATATGTACTGTAAAATGCTACATGTTTTAGTTCTTTATTTTAAAACAATTTCAAATAATTGTGCTTCAGATAACTGAGTTTTCACTGTAACTTTTTAATTAAATTAACATGTTATTAATTATACCTTGTCAGAGGAACACCATCCATTAAAAATTGTGCTGCCACAGGCAAAAGACGTTCAGTAATTTCTTTTTGTCCAACTAAACATTTTGCAGCTCCAATACGTTCAACCAGAGTTGCTGTAACTTGAGCAGTTGTCTTTCGAACAGCACCATTACGATGACTGCAAATTAAAAAGTTTTAAAATATTTCTTTTGTAAAATTTATTTAAATGTTTTATCTATTATAGAAATAATCCTAAAAAATATCAGTTGATAATATTACTTGAACGTTTAAGTGATCTTAAATAATATGAATGTTTTGACTGCAGAGTTCTACAGCTATAATAGAATAAATGCATTCATTAATACAATAGAATCTGTTTATTGTAAACAGTATAAGCAAGTCCCTAAGAGATGATCATAAGTAAATAAAACTACAATTATAGTAATATTTCCATTAAATTCTAGTTTATTGACTCTGACATTAAAAGAACAGGCTAAAACAATGAAAAATATAATTAATAATTCTTCAAGTTATAGAATTATTATTGCTAATTAATAGTAATTCATTCATCCAGCATTGTTTACTTGCTTGCAGTTATATGCTAGCTGTTAAAGATGATAGTGTAAAAACACTACCATCTTTAACAGCTAGCATATAACTGCAAGCAAGTAAACAATGCTGGATGAATGAATGATGGTAGTGTAAAAACACTATCATCTTTAACAGCTAGCATTTAACTGTAATAAAAAATGCAGTAACTTAAACTACTGAACTACAAGAAAACAATTAAAACATTTAAAGTACTCAGTAAGACCAATAATCATTATTTTTATCAGCTATATGCTGAGTAGGGTGGTCCATTTTTCAGTTTGGCCACCCCATAAATTTGTAACATGTATCCATAGCAATAACATTGTATAATTTCAGTTGGCTAGCTTTAGCAGAAGAGGGTGCTCAATCGAGTGCTGTTTTTGAAATTTTTGTGAAAAATGCTTGATCTTGATTTTTTGTTACAGGTCAGTTTCGTGTGTTAAATTAATCAAATCTACTTTTAAATACAACTGTTAAAAAGTTTTATAGACGAATGTAAAAAACTTTGGTACTTATTTACTAGATTGTGAGTGAATCAGTGCATTAAAAAAAGTCCATCGACTCGAAAAAAGACGACATTTTTCTACTTGGATGTCGGGATCTTGAGTCATTGGTAAGGATTAACCAACTTCCAACTCTTCAGCAAGTTCTACTTTGTTAACACCACACATTAAATGAATCAAAAAATGTGAAAGATTCTGCGCATATGCTCATTCAATAAGTCATAGAGGTGTGGAGAAAATCTGGCATTCCAACCAGACAATCAAATCACTGCGTTGAAAAACTTATAAAAATTCATAAGAAATAGCTGCTTTCAAAGAAAAATAAAATGAGATTCGGAAGTGCAGAAAAATAGAGAGCATTTGTTTACAGAAGAGCTAGACAAACTTTTTGATATTGCCCATTTACATGCCATGAACTTAATCAAAATTGCAGAAGACAGAGAGTTTCTCATTGATCAAAGAGATGAGCTTAAGACATCAATTGACAAGAAGCTGGAAAAGACCAAAGAACGTTCTCTAAAATGAAAACAAAGAGCTGAAGAATTAAGAGAAAAGGATGCTAAAAGTAATGCTTCAACTTCAGTAGTGTTAAGTTAAAAACTAGAACTTGATTTCAGCTTCAGTAGCACTTCTAGTGCTGATAGCACTTTAAAAGGTAAGCAAGAAGATGATTTTGTGGTTGCTTTACCATCAAGGACTCTTTCTTGCAATTACCTCCTGAGACTTGGGGTGACAATGTTGATTACCTTCAAGGCAAAAGTCGCATAAGAAAGTTGTGTGTGGTTAACGACACTGCGGAGAGGGGTGTAAAACTATTTGAAGATTACAATACGATACTCACTAAGAATGAGAAAGAAAAACAATTTTTACTTCATGTTGTTGAACAGAACAGAAAGATCGTTTCTACTGAAATATCCAAAAAAGTGCTAATGAACTTAGTTTTAGGTTGAGAAAAAAGAACTGTAATATTATTTTAAGTATTGCTTTGTTTATAACATTTTGTGTGTGTTTAAATACTATATTTGAATAAAAAAAACTTTTGATACATAGTTTACATTTTTTACTTAATATCTCGACTAGTTCTTTTTAAGAATTTTTTCATAAAATTCAGATATTTCAAAGTTGACGAGCACCCCCTTGTATATAAGATAAGGGGGTGAAATTTTCAACACATAATAGGAATGGTAGGTGTAACAAAACAAGGGGTGGCGTGACTTCCACTTGAAAATTTTTTTTCGCTATTTAAGCATGGACCACCCTAATGCTGAGACTTATAAAAAGATATTTTTAAGTTATCTAAAAACAATAACTAATAAGCAAAGCTTTATGAGTGTATTTTAATCATCTAATAATCTGTATTTAATTATCTAACAAGCAATTATTATTAGAACATTATGACAGTATCACAATGTTGGGCTGCAATTTTTAATAATCTTTTAATTTAAAAAGAAAATCACGAGACTTCTAGTCTGGACAATTTTGTTTTAAATATATGAACTTCTGGTCTGGACCAGAAGTTTGTATGTAGTTAATCAGGGTCTTTGGCCCTTAAGCTTTCCGTATCTGGTCTCAATTTTAGTAGTTTCTTGCCCCTGTACATCAAACTTCTCATAATAACAACTGAGTCATGCCAGTCATCTATCTAACTCTGTTCTCAAGAAAATTTTGAATTGAAATCATGACTTCTAGTCCAGACCAGAAGTTTCTATATAGTTACTTGGAACCTCCAGCCTATAAGCTTTCCATATCTTGTCTCAATTTTCATCTATCTAACTCTGTTCTTGAGATAAACGAAGGACAGACAGTCAAATAGACAGGTGACAGTGGGAATGTATAGGTCTTCAATTTGAAAATTGCAGCCGTATTATCAACATTAGATAAATTAGATGTTTAATCAAATTAGAATGACCCAAAACTTGATTCTATAAATTATGATAATAATAAGCAGATTCTATAGTAAATAGAAAAGAATTTACCATACATATATTCTTATAGATGAGTCAAAATCAGCACTATATATTGCTATAAGCAAAATAGGATGTGTTTCAAAACTGTGAACAAACAAATACCTGTTTTCCAATGAGAGTGTTTACTTTGGCAGCGAAGGGCATGTCAGAACACGCACGATGTAGTCAGAACCATTTGTGTGTTCAAACAAGTTTGATTTTTTCGTGCGTTCTGACGTCGAATTTTGAGTGTTTTGGTTTTTCAACATGAATATTGATACATTGATTAGTCTTGTGTTTGAGAATAGGTGTTTGTGGGACATGAAAGACAAAAACTATCACAACAGAGATATTTCTTGGCAGAGATATCTCTCATTCTGAAATACTCGAAAAACTTTTGCGGGTTGTCCCACAAATCTTGATATAACATTTGGAACTCTCCCTTATCGTCTTTGTGGAAAATAAGTGGTTAACATGCTCTGTTTTCCCACCACCTATCAACAATAACTTAATCAACGAACTTTCAAGAAAATAAAACTCATCAAGTTTGTCCATTTTGCTGGGAGGCAGAAACAAACATACCGACTATCAGAAAATGCATACAGCGTACCCACCTTGTTCTGACGAGGATTTCAGATGCACTCATCAGAACAAGATTTCGTCAGAATTCGCATCCACAGTAACCGTAGCCTAAGGTTGTTGGGGAAAGCACTGTTGTGTCCTTGTTAGATATTTGTTTATCATCATAATGACCCTACTCCTTGGTTGTTCTTGAACATCAAATATCTGATCAAGAACTACATAACAGTGCTTTCCCCAATCTTCTTAGTCCCCTGTCCCTAAAGGTTTTTCTCTTTCCTGAACTGAAAGAAAAATTTGATAGATGACAGCTCCAATCAGCAACTGATATGATTCAGATACAATCACATCTGATAGAAAAGTATGAAAAAATGAATATAGCAAAATTTTGTAATATTTACTTCCATAGTAATTCCTAAATTAGAAGATCAAATACAAGAATTTAAAAATTATTTTTATGTTAGTTATAATTTTAAAACTAATTTATTTTTCATAATGATAAAACAAAGATCTAAATAATTACTACAGTGAATTGCAATTTTGAAAGGAGAATTTCTGGACAATGATTATTGTAATGGTATATTTCTATCTATAATACTTGTATCAAATGCACTTGGATTCAGGAATAAAATCATTTATTTTTACTTTAACAGAAATATAATGGACACAGAAACACCAGTTATGTTTTTTAATAAACAAAATTTTGTCTATAACTAGGACTGGATTTATTAATATCTACTGTATAGCTAACTAAGCTATAGATTAGGGCCTCAAGATTTTTGGGGTCCTAAGTGACCCTAAGTCTAATACAAACAAACTGTTCAAGAGATCAATCCTGTTCACAAGTAAAAAGACTTAACAATGAATTAAGTTCTATAATGCAACAAGAAAAGCTTTCAGATTTAACTATTTTGTGCATAAATAAATAAATAAACTTTGAAGTTTGTCATTTGATGATAATATTAGTGATTTTGCATATCAAAAATCAAGAAAATAAATTTAAAAATTTCCAATATTGTTTAAACGAAACTTGCTTAGTTAAAAACATAATTTTTTTTAATTACAAATTTTTCATTTCAATTTAAAATTTATTTTTAAAAATCTAATTTGGTAAGGTATGGACCTCAATCACTGTAAATTCAGCCCTGTCTATACCTGATGATGCAAATATTTACATTTTATCACAATTTAATTTCTTCAATCTACGATTGCAGATCATTTTTTCTATTTAATAATGAAAATGTTGAAGTTTATTCACAATTGTATTGTCAAAATACATTAGGAAATTATTACATATTATAAGAATGATAAAACATAAAAAGTTTAAATATTAGGTCAAAGAATTAATATAATTGTTTTACATAATCATAACTATAATTTCATATGCTACTTAAATTTGTATGTATATTTAAATATAAACTTACCTACCACCTCCTAAAATGACAGCTAAAATAGCTTTATTTGATGAAACTTCTTCAATCATATTATTCATTGCCTTTTCAATATCATCTCTAATGAAACCAACACTTTCGCCTGTTTTATGAAGTAATGTCTGTACAATAACTTCTAAATCCTATTATGAAATAACAAAAAATTTAATAAAATGGAAAAGAATTGTAATTTAAATTTATGATATGCTTAAAACTACTTATATACTACTATATTTTAAACTTAATAATCCTCAAAATATTAATATAAAATAGAAACAAATAACTTTGTAATTTCTCAAATAATATGATTACTATTATAAACAAGTTGTTCTAAAACTATTAGATTGTTCGGAAAGTAAGTTTGTTTTTTTACCACTAGACAGATTAGTCGTATTTTTCCTGCCATTTTCATTCTAAACCGTATTATCATTATATATTTTGACAGCTAGCATTTTAAGGCTTATTTGTAAAAAGTTTTGTTTGATTCTGTGCAATTGTTTATTTTTTGTGTCCCATCAAATATGGAAGATCGAAAGCATCATTTTAGGCATATTTTGCTTTTTTATTACCAAAAAATCAAAATGCTGTTCAAGCAAGAAAAAATTGTGGTACATGTATGGAGATGATGTGTTGAGAGAAAGACAGTGCCAAAACTGGTTTACAAAATTTGTTTCTGGCAATTTCAATATTGAAGATGCACCAGGTTCTGGATGGCCAGTTAAAGCCAATGAAAATAAAATAAAGGTACTGATTGAAGCAAACTGCCAAATAACAACACGTGAAATCACTAAGAGATTAAATTTGTCAAATTGAACCGTTTATGATTACTTGAAACAAATTGGTTTTGTTTCAAAGCTTGATATATGGGTTCCACATGTTCTTAAAGAGAAATGCTCTCTTTGGTGAGGTTTTAAGGAAATTTTTTTCTGCAGCTTTTATCAGACAATTTAACAACTGATTTGAAAGTGCCATCGAGTAAACGAATTGAGTAATATCATCAAACAGAAAAGGCTGTCAGAATTGATCAACAAAACAGGTGTAGGGTTTTAACATGATAATATCAAATTTCACACAAGTTTGGTAACTCGTCAGAAACTGTTATAACTGATGCTATCACACTAACCATATTTGCCAGATCGAGCACACTCAGATTATTACTTGTTTTGGTCTACACAAATTTTTTTTAACTAAGATATTTACTTGAAATGACAATGTCAAAAGTCACTTGGATCAGTTTTTTGTAAGCAACGATCAAAACTTTTATGAATGTGAAATCATGCTACTACCAGAAACGATGACAACAGGTATTTGACCAAAATGGTCGATATATAATTCAATAAAATATTTATTTATTATAAAAATATTGTGTTTTTTTC